TTTGTCTGTTCTGGGCTAATGTAGAAACATGGTGGTTCAACATGGCGGACTCCACAGAAGGCGACCCACTGCATCTGTAGATAAAAATGTTTCATTCTCAGATAACGAAAACGCGATTCTTATATTCAGGTTATTATACATTATTGAAAACATACCTATGAATATTATGTTAGATCCTCCTAAATGTATGTTAGATCCTCCTAAATGTATGTTAGATCCTCCTAAATGTTGTTATAAAGTGCTACAAACAGCATTTTTTTTTTACTATTTACTGCATTTCATTTTACAGTTCTAATTATGATTTTACATATAAAACCTGATTAATTTATAAAATAAGAAATAGATTCCAATAAGTGCTGCTAACATGTTAATGCATGTATCCAATGAAAATAATATATAACGATCATAATGAGTATGTTTTGATACTTTAGGTTAATTCTGTTTCCAATACTTCTCTACATTCCTATTTTTGTATTGCCGCTGATGAGACTCTTACTTATAGGCAAATGAAAGGAGACTGAACTCATCCAGCTGTTTGAGTAATGATGAGTAAGTGACTCTAACAGAGGGAATGTAGGGATGGACATATTCCCCCTGAGTCAGATGACAAAGGAAACGTTACCAGTGGCAGCCTGTAGTAGCTGGTTGGTTGCCCTCTACTGGTGACATTGCTGTTGGGTGTCCTGTTCTATGTTAAGCTCCAGCAGCGTTTGGAAAACATTGTGATGATGTTCTGGGCCTGTATTTATCATATATTGTTTTTCAAAGTGTAAGACACATTTATGAGCCGACTTATTGCTACCTAGAGCAAATGTGGCAACTACTGTACATATTGTATCAAGGATATATTATTTATCTTCGTATATTTATTTTACAGTTAGTATACAAAACAATCAACATACTTACCTGTTATATTCTAACAAAATTATATATTATATGTGTCAGTGTATGTCAATCAAACTGCAACTTTCAAATGTCCCTGAAAAATAAAACTAACAAACACAAATTCTTTAGCTTACCATACATGTCATATTTTTTAATTGTGTTATATTCATGTTCTTCCAAAATTCAACCTAATATATGTATTATATATAAAAATTGGGATTAATAAATGGGATTAGATAATAGTAAACTGACTGAAATTGCTGCTGATAGAAAGAAAATCATATAATAAAGAGAATTTAGTACCAAGTGCAGACAGAAAAGCTTTATTCTGTTGTTTGCACGACTGATAAATGCAAAAAGGGAAGTCTTGCAACACTCCAGCAGATATTAAAATAAAATGCAAATTGTAGTGAGCCAACTATTACTCATCATGACTAATGACGTTTTGTACAATCACTCCTTTGCTGCAGCCATCTGGGACTTAAGCAACTTCCTAGACCTCCAGAGATTTCTTAAATCTAGAAAAGATTTTTTGAAAAGAGTTTTAAGAAATGTGATGAATAGGTTTTATTCTTACGTTTGCAAGTAGGAGTTTCTTTACCTCGATCTTCCACTTAAATACAGGCCCTAATCTTCACTAGAATTTGTATAAACTGCTTTATAGTTGGTCTTTCTGGAAATAATTATTTATGTGAGACATTAAACTGAAGAGGACTTTTAATCTTCGGCTGCCGAGAGGCTGAGCGAGCTCTAATCTCATCCATGGGGGATGAGGGGAATTTATGGAGGATTTCCTCAGAACGTCAATGACATGAAGACGTCTTTAAAATTCTCATAAAAACTCCCACTCCCAGTCCTGCACAGTGAATGACTCCACCTCCCAGTATAAACAACACAGGATGTATGCTAATGTTAAACAGCTTGGACAAATCACAAAAACAAATCAAAAGTATCAGAGAGGACAATTTACATCCACCAGAGGGAAGCAACCACCTGCCAATATTTTTGTCGAACCACAAAAACAAAAAAACCATGATGTAGTCCAACAACAAAGTTTATTGAGACCGATTTAATTATTTTCATGCACCCGAAATAACCCCTGAAATAATTTATGTACAGTTCAATAGCCTTAACATGTACAGGTTTCTTCACACTCATTAAACGATTCTTCCATGCATCTGCAATCTGATCATCATAACTAAAAGGCACACAAAGATTTACCAGAATCTCATTCAGTATATATTTCTCTTACAGATACCTTACTTGATTTCACACCGCTGCCAAACTGAAAACCAGTAATGGCAAACTTAAATTTTCTGCTCTTTTGTTGTGTTGACCCATCTCTTATTGTCGTGGCACAATTGGTTTAAAGATGATCCCAAGAACCAGAGAGGTTGAAAACATGGCACCTACGCTAAACACCAAGCTGTTATTGTTTGTGACACCAGTACCAGGCCAGACTACGGGCCTAGCTGGCCTATATGGCACTTCTCCCAGGTGACTGTAAAGGTTGGAGTTGATTCTCCTGTGTTTACTGTAACTTGTGTGTTTGTAGTTTTCTGTCAACAGTAAGGCTGTCGATGTCATCAAATGCTCCATATTAACCTCCAGTGCTTAATTTATTCTGTATGGAAGGAGAGGAGAAATGGGTTAAAAAGTTAGTGCTGGGTAGAGAAGAGTGACAGTGGGCGATCATGTTCCAATCATATATCAAGAGTAAATCTATATATATAGTCATTACCTTTTTGGCGTTGTCCACACACTGCATGTAGGCCGAGGCGATACTCGAGCAAGTCAAGGTCTTTCCTGTGTTCTCCTTGTAGCATTTTAAAATCTGGCTCTGCAAGTCTCCACACACTGGCTGGATATTGAAACGCCTGAGAGCACATAGAGAAAAAAAACACACCAGACATGATGTTGGTTTGGGCGTTATTAAGGCCAAATTTGTTTTACTTTCAAACTAGCCAACTATGCCTTTATTAAAGATCCTTTTGTTGACTCGTACCACACGTCAGTGCACTCTGTAACCTTACTAATCACAGAAAAGGGTCAAATGTTTCTATATCATTAAGACCACATTATGATGAATGCAAGTTAGCAGATAATTGTTGCATTCATGCAAACACAGTAAGTTTGAACTTACGCAAAACGGTTGTGAGTCTCCTCTTTGCCCTTCTGGAAGCTCTCAGCAGTCACTTTGTAAAACTGGGTACACTGTCAAAGTATCAAACACCACACGTTACTATCAAGGTCAAATGTCACAACTGCATCATACAAACGAGCTGTCAAAAGCTTATTTTTTATCCATCTCTGATGGCTGTACTTAAGACAATTACCTGTTGGCTTAAACAACATTTATATCTGATTGTACTGTACTTCTGCGAGTTTGTTTAGTCTAGTTGTTGAGTCTGTTGAGTCCTTTAGTGGTAACAAGGTAACAAAAACATAACAATTCCTATATTCAGGTAATTATACTTATGTATATTATATTCAATTTCTGCCAATAGATGCTCCTGAACGTTACACACTGGACCTTTAACTGAGGAATAAAGTATCGCTCACCTTTGTTTCAAGTTTTGCGACATGTTCCTTGTACAGAGCGTCTTGTTTCTTTAAAGCTTTCTCCTTCTCCTCCAGTTGATGAGCCTGTATGAGATCAAAATGTTATAATGTATAATGGCATCATTAAACCTCTAGAACCAGTACATTCATGCCAGCAATACATTTTATTGCTTAATATTTTGTAGACTGAGAAATTATATGACAATGTTTTTTGTCTCATCAAATAAAAAGCAGAAAAACACAGATGTGCAGCAGCTGTTTGAAATGTGGTTAGAGCAGAATGAAAGTGAAAAAGTGAGTCATGCGCGTATAAATTATCTCTCATCTTACCTTCAGCTCCATCCACTGAAACAAGACAAGAGGGCAAGAAATAGAAAGACATTAAGAGGAGGAAGGAACTTGATATTTACAAGAGAGATCCTCACACATATACAGATCATACATCATGTTCACTTGCGCTTACATAAAGCTGCACCATGAGCCTCTGATCCTCTGTCTTCATTCGCTCCTTCATGATGGAGTCCGTTAGGTTCTCCATGTACGCCGTCTTCTCCGCCTCCAGTGTCTTCTTCACCTGCTCCTCCACCTGAGCCTGAGCTGCTGCTTTGGCCTCTGCTCGAGCCTGAGCCCTCATCTCCTCCAGCCTTCACAGGTGCGCACACACACATAAACATGTATTTAATTTGAATCAATGCTCAGTCGATTAATCGATTGAATTGAATGTCTGCAACAGCGATTTTGATGTTATTTGTCAAGCAAAATTGCCAAAACAAATACTGGTTCCAGCTTCTCAAATGTAAAGATTTTTCTGCTTCAGTTTGCCTTCAATCAGTGTCAGTCAATCAACTTCTCATTTCACCTGTGCTATGTAAACTGAGTATCTTGGGTGCACACATTTTCTCCAGGTTGAAAAGCATCTACAGTTCTTTCTACATCTTTATTTTATCTCATCAGACAAAGTCAGAACACAAAATAATGAGATATAAGTTTCACAGTAATTTGCCCTTACTGTTGCTGCAGCTCCTGCCTCTTCTGGTTGATCTCCTCCTCCAGACTTATCTGCATCTCCTCTTTGATCTTCTGCCTCATCTCTTCCTCCAGCACTTCAGGAGAAACGGGCAAAGCTGCAGCAAACACACAATTTGTGAAAAAAAAAAAAAAATAGCACAAGAAATTTAGGTGATTAATTTCAAACTGTTGCTATAAATCTTAAAACACCCACATCTTTGTGATCAGCTCACCTGCTGCAGGTGGAGGCACTGAGGCAACAGCAAGCATTTCATCCTCAGCAACCGGGGGCAGAGACAGGGTGGTGGTGGGCTCCTCAGCAGGTGGAGCTGGATCCAGTGGAGGTGGTGCTAGAGGCTCTGCAAGGGGTTCATCCACAGGTGCATCAGTGGGTACGATGGCCAGTTCCTCACAGTGACAGGGCGGGGAGGGCTCTTCAAACGTGAGCTCTGGAGCAGGAGAGGGTGCTGCCACAGGCTCTGGAGGAGGTGGAGGTGGAACCAGTTCACATGGAGGCGGCTGATCCACAGCTGGAGCCACGACTGGAGGCACTTCTTCAACTGCAGCGAGCGTGACGACAGGCTCAACAAGAGTCGTCTCCACTTGCGGAGGCAAAGCTACAGCTTCAATTGGAGCTGAATCAACAGGATAGGGTGTGGTTATTAGTTCAACTGGTGTCGATTCAGCGGTGGGTGGAGGTGAGACCGTTTCCACTGGTGGCAACAGGGCGAGAGGTTCAAGAGGTTCCACAGAGGGAGCAAGAGCAGCAGGTTCAATAGTAGTTGGAGGCGTTGGTTGCACAAGTTCAGAGGGCAGAGACGAAGCTTGTGGTTCAGGAGGAGCTACAGCTGCTGTGGACTCCACAGGTGGAGGTAGGACAACAGGTTCGACGACATGTTCTGCTATCAGCGGTGTAGACAGGGTTTCTGTCTCTACATGAGGTGGGATGAAGGATTCAAGAGCCGGTAGGACTACGGGCTCCACTACAGCAGGAGGCGGGGGAGGAGAAGGAGGAGGAGAAAGTTCAGGCTCCACAAGTGCTTCTACTGTAGATGGAGGAGGAGGAGGAGCTAAGACAACAGGGTCGGTTGGAGGTGGAGGCGGGGCTGGAGGCTCCACAGATGCAGGAGGAAGGGATAGAAAACCTACAGGAGGAAGAACTTCCACTGATGGAGGTGTGGATGGGGCTTCCTGAGGAGGAGGAGGTGGTGGAGGTGAGACAACAGGGTCGGTTGGAGGTGGAGGTGGGCCTGCAGGCTCCACAGAGGGAGGAGGGAGAGAGAGTAAACTTACAGGAGAAAGAGATTCCACTGATGGAGGTGTGGATGGAGCTTCCTGAAGAGGAGGGGGAGGAAGAGGGGTGAATTCAGGCTCCACAAGTGCTTCTACTTGTGGAGAAGGAGTAAATGGAGGAGAGGGGGCTGAGACAACAGGGTCGGCTGGAGGTGGAGGTGGGGCTGCAGGCTCCACAGAGGCAGGAAGAGGGGAGGGGAAACTTACAGGAGAAGGAGCTTCTACTAATGGAGGTGTGGCTGAAGCTTCCTGAGGAGGAGGAGGAGGAGGAGAAGGTGGAGAGGTTGAGACAATAGGCTCGGTTAGAGGTGGAGGTGGGGCTGCAGGCTCCACAGAGGCAGGAGGGAGGGAGGGGAAACTTACAGGAGGAAGAGATTCCACTAATGGAGGTGTGGATGGGGCTTCCTGAGGAGGAGATGGAGGAGGAGAAGGGGCTGAGACAACAGGGTCGGTTGGAGGTGGAGGCGGGGCTGCAGGCTCCACAGAGGCAGGAGGAAGGGAGTGAAACTTTACAGGAGGGGGAGGGACGAGCTTTACAGGAGGAGCAGGTTCCACCGACGGAGGTGTAGACGGGGCTCCCAGCGGGGGGATGAATGGAGGAGGAGTCAGAAGAGGTATTAGGTGTTCAACAGAGGGGGCGGGAACTGGGGTGGGTGTTTGTGTTTCAGGTGGAGGAGGAAGATTTCCATTCTGTGAGAGCTGAGGAGAGACGAGCTTTGATGGCTGTCTCATCCGGTTGATGACTTTGTCTGACAGCTGACAACAGAAAGAGAGAAACTTATTGTTATGAACTCCATCTGCTGGGCATAACTAGCATTTCATTTAATTGTACCATACATTTCTGCTGTGAACCTTTCAATAATAAACAACTCATTCCCTGTTTGTTGCCATTGTTTTATGTTTGGGGGTTTGTGGCTTGAAACCATAAGAATTGTAAAACTTTTGACTATTAAAAGTAAGATCCCTTAATAAGCATATTTGACATTTGATTTCCAGAGGAAATGCTTAAGATAAATGACTTTGGGTTAAAGATTAAGTTTGTATTCAAGGTTAATTTTATTTCCTTTTTAACATCCTGCTAGTACCCCTGCAGATTTAGATAGCACCGGAGTAAATGCGTATATGAGGTCTCTTTAGAGGCCACAACCTCTCCAACTGACTGAAAGACCTGTTTCTGACCTTCCAGTCAAACTCTCTAATTTGGGCGATTTGTCAGTTTACGACCAGACAAGCAAGTTTCATCTCATTTGTTTTCAGAAAATTATTGTTTTTAATTCCACTTCCCACCTTTATTTTGTTTTACTATCCTCATCTTTATTCTTTATACTAGTCTTCTCTTCAACTTTTCCTTTTTCACAGTTTAGGAAAAGCTGTTCTGCATTAGAAAGTTCCTTTAATATGTTTTCCTTATTTTTCTGAACATAATGTCTGACTGGAAGAAATGTGTAATGATCCTGTGCAGGTTAGTTATATTCTTAAATGAGTTGTTGAAAGTATTTGTCCATTCAATAATTGTATAATTAACATTTATTCTAGTTCTATTGTGTTTGTCTTCAAAGTTAATCTGGTCTCTCTCTTTTTCTGACCTCAGCAGCACCAGCAGCCTAAGTTGATCTCATTTTGGTTATTTATATTTTAGTGGGTGAAAGTTCATGAGGAGGTCATGTTTTTCCAGCTTAGTTTCTTTTCTTTTCTTTTTTTTTAATTTTAAATTTAGGAGCACTGGCAGCACATTATCTGCCTGTCAGTCCCTCATTTGTTTATTTATATGGGTACTTATTTGGTTTGTTTAAAATTAAATTAAAAACGGGTTAATCTCTATTATTTGACTCTGTTTCAATTATGTTTGCATCAAAAAGTAATAAAATATTACTGGATTATAATAATTGATGCAATAATGTGTAAATCACATACATTTTCCAGCTGATAAAGAGCTAATTGTAATTATTTTATACTTCTGGGTAGTTTAATGTATAACAATACACATTATAATTAATTAGTTGGTTTATATTTTTGTATTAATAATTTCAATCAGCAAACTACTAACTTAAGCTCTCTAATGAATGTTGGAGTAAAAAGTAAAATATTTTCCTCTGAAATGTGTCAAGTACAAGTTGAGTAAGTACTTGAGTAAATGTACTTAGTGCTTCAAAGAGTTGTTTCATAGACTTATTATATATAAAATATCCTTTAATAATAATAATATTTTATAATATTGTTTAATTGTATGTCTCTTTAAGGATTTACTTGCAGTTATGTTGATGATATAATTGATTATTTTTAAGAAGAATATTTTTGGTCCATCTTGACAACCGACCATTTTCTTTCCAGAGCAGCCACTGACTTTGTACAGAGTCACAACAAACATGGGGGGCGAGATCAATACTTAGTTATACCGATAACAGAATTATGGATTACAGAGCTCACAGGGCTGCAGATGGAAAATGAACACCCATGCACTCTGCAGCCACTGTGTGCTCTTAAAACCCCTCTGACTGAATACTTTCTCCCAGATCAAATTCATGCAAACTCTCCCTGTGCTCTCACTCACCCGAATGCCCTTCACAAAAGTTACTCCTCCGCCTTCCCCATCCTCATGGGAGAAGTGACTCGGGCTGTTTCCCCCCATCCACACCCGCAGCTGCACACTGCAATCTGTGTTTACTGGATATATTTAATCCACAACGTGGATTGTGTTGCTCATTGAGATCAACTCGCAGCAGCTGCAACAAAGTGCCCTTCCCACCGCTGAATGCGACCAACAGGAGCTGCTATTGGATGCAGCTGAACAACGCCTCTCTGGATTGGTCCACTGGCCTTAAAGGCAATGAAACGTGAGGGAACATTGTGTCCCCTGAACTACAAAATGAGTAAAATCCAATCTGCTTATTTAAACATGTGCTTTCATGTTATGATCAACTACTTCAGACCTACAGAGACTCTATAATCTGTATTTGTAGCCAGGTTGTGTTTAATTTTAAATGGGCAGGGAGTGTAAAGAATTATTGTACTGTACAATGTAATGTTTCCTGTTGACAAACACTGCTCCAATACACCTGAGACAATCTATGAGAAAACAAATGACAGCTACTACATCATCAGAGTTAATATTAAGTAAATTAGCTCTTTAGAAAATAAATATTCAAACATTACACAAAAGACAGCTGCACCGTGATTTTTGCATCTGAGAATGCTAATGAGGTACTTATCTATATCTTTATTCTCAACAAATCCATGAACTGATTCACTAACAAACAGCTAAATCCTAATATATCTCATTCCTCATGTGCCAAAAACAATTAAAAACACATCAATGGTCCACATGTTCCCTTCCTGTGATGAACAGGGGCCCTGCGGTTTAGTTTGAGTCGATCCTACACGTCCTGCTGCTGCTGTAGATGTAGATTAGTCCAAGTACAAGCGCACTATTTGCTCCTGTTTATGGTACAATTCCTAAAAACTACACTTTAGCTGTTTTAGGAAAATGTTTAACCTTTTAAAAAAATATGATATTTGAGTTTTAGATACTAACACATAGTTGATCTCTTCGTTCTGTTCCTGGCATTTATTGACAATAATGAAAATGTAGAATATCAGCAGCTTCATCTTTTAAACTTGTCTGTGTGTGTGTGTGTGTGTGTGTGTGTGAGAGAGAGGAGTTTACTACGACAAGTATGAAAACACAATTACATAAGAGTATAAAACCTCTACAGCACAGTCGACCAAAAAACATCTCCAAGTCCAACACAGTGGCTGTTTTTCTATTCAACCATCAGTCTCTTCTTCTTCCTCTTCACTCCGCCTTCTTCTCCTTGGCGGCGGGTCCACGCAGAGCCGCCCGCACGCTGCTCCACACCTCCGTGTACAGCAGAGTGCCCAGGAAGACGACGGCCGTGCCCACCCAGTGCCAGGTGGTGAAGGGGTTTTGGAAGTAAAGGATGGAGAAGATGAGGCTGATGAACTTTCTCAGGGTCACCACCAGAGTGACGGTCAGCGAGGCGCACTCTGTGGTCAGAATGAACACGCCGCGGATGCACACATATCTGAAAACACTGGTTAAAGTCTGTAACAAGAGTGAAATAGAAATAAAAACACAGCAATTTAAACTAAACTTAGTACAAATACTTTGCTACTGTACTTCAGAAGTTGTTTTTTCAGGTATCTGTACTTTCCTCAAGTATTTATTTCCCTGACAACTTTTTACCTTTACACAAATATCTGTTCTTTCTCCTCCTTAAAGTTAAAAAACAGGCTTAAAACTTTACTTACTGAAATGATCGATTATGATTATTTTCTGCATCATTGCACGCCTTCCCAACATCAAGACCGGTGCGTATCACAAATGACAGACAGACACACAACATGGCAAAACAACAAAAACAAGGTAGAAAAAACGAAACGACGTAACAAGATGGAACGAAGAGAGGAAGACGTGACCCTATTTGCAGAATCAGTTAACTTTACACAGAAACAGCAGATAGAAATAACCTTCCTTTTACTTTTATACTAGTAAAAAGTACTCTTTTATTTCAGAGCTTTTACTTTTTCACTTTGACTTGAGTAAAGAAGTTGAATCAGTGCTTCTACTTTTACTCAAGTATCTGTACTAATACTTTGTATGTGAATGTGTGTACTTTTATTACCGTTTCAGTAACGATATCAAAGCAGCATGTTTTCTGTACCTTATTACAGCATATCATAATATATTCCTTAGATTGACCAATATAAAAATTGCTTCCCATTATAAATCAGTTTTTTTTTTACTTTTATCAAAACATGCATGCTATATTTAACTCTATTTAACTTTTGTTGTATTAGCCTTAATGACGTCGCTGATGTTTGCTGCACTTAAGAATCTGACCGAGCTATACCAATATTTGATACTCGACCAAACTCAAAATAAGGTATTTATGTTCGATAGCCAGACCTAATTGTGACTCCTTAAACTGAAGCAGTGTAACTCGCTCTACAGGATTGGTTTGTCTGCTATATATGTTGAGAACAGTTCAACCTAAATGGGATCATTTTAAATGCCTAAAGAAGCAGATCTATACTGTACAGATTAGAGGAATGTGAAAAAAGATAACGGTTACAGTAGATAACTGAATAAAAGCCAGTGAGATAAACTTTCTTAGACAGGATACTGTGTGATGACGTTGACCAGCAGGTAGATCCACATTATTGGCACAGTCAGTCCAACCTCAGGAATTACTACAGGAGCTGAGAAACAACAACATATTTATTTTGTGAGTAAAGACACAAAATGTAAATAGTTTTCGTGCACAACATTTCCTGAATGAACTCACTGCTTTGACTGAAGTAGACGCAGTGGCTGTAGATGTTTGTGGAGAGGAGCAGGAAGCCCGGCAGAGGTAGGCAGTGCTGCAGAGACAGAAAAGAGACAAACACAGTCTAATTTACTCAAATGAAGTTTATAATTCCCTAAAGACATGTGAATGTTTTGGAGCGTGTCCTGCATGTTGGAGCAGAAAGAAGACTCACATTATAGAAGAGGGCCTCTTTGGAGTGTTTTCCATACTGCTTGTACAGCGTTTCCTGGAAAATGCCCATCCTCGCAGACATCAGCAGAGCAAAGGTCAACATGCCGATACCTGAAAGGATCAACAAGAAAAAGTTAGTGTTGACTCAGTCTAGTGTATCCATAATAGTGATTATAGAAAGAGAAGCTTCCAAACTTCGGTGACAAGGTCTGGGTTTTGGTTGCAGCAGGGAAAATGGGAATCAATGAGTGAAGTGCGACAGTTAAGCTTGCAACAAAAATAAAGA